CGTGGGCTTGGGGGAGGCGGGGAACAATCTCCCATCCCGTGTCTTCCGCCAGCAGGAACGCTATGTCCTGGGAAAGGCTGACATTGTCAGGCTCTGAGTGCAGCCTCAGCTGGCACAGGAGGGCTGGGGGTCGGGTACGTCCCCCAGGCACGCGGCGAACCCATGGAGCAGGGGAGCTGCGGGTACCTCCATCACAGGCAGCGTTCCCCAAAGCTTTAAACCTGCACTGCTACTGGAGAAGTGGCTTAGCCCTGCCCTGGCATGGATCCCCAAGCGGTGTGGGGTGCTCCCCAAGGTCCAGGCAAACCCCCAAGATGCTCAGCCACTGCCTGGGGACTGCCTAGAGCCCAACACCATGCGCCAACGACCGGGCTGGCCGCAGGGGTGCTCCGGTCACCCCTCACAGATGTGGCTGTGGGCGGCACAAGGCGGCTCCTTGCCAAAACCCGGGAGCCTGTGGGAGCCAAAACCAGGGGCTTGACCCTCCCCACCCACTTCCCAGGCTCTGGGGAGATTTGGGGCCACGGGGCTGCAGCTCCTGGCTGACACGCTCCTTGCACCTCGCTGCATTCTGCAGCCGACAGGGACTGGTCCGTGCCGGGCACGGTGCCACGCTCCCCAGCACAGTGCCGTGCTCCCCAGCCAGCTCACGCTGCTGACCGCCCCCAGGGCTTGAGCCATCTCCCGGGACAGAGCTGGGGAGCTGCTTGGGGCTGTGCTCCCTGCCCTGCTAGTTCCCACCATGGGAACAGCCACCTACTTCTAATTATAGCCCCCAATTGCCTGCGTTTGGTTGCTTTCCCGTGGTTAATGGGGACTTGGGGGCCAGGAGGAGCGGTGAGGCACGCACAGTGGTGGCACAGCATGGTCGTGTCCCTCCTACGTGTTCCCGATCCCCGCCACACGCAGGGAAAGGCTGAGCCACTCCTGAACTGTGTTTTCCCAAAACCAAAATAAAAATAAGGGACCCGTTTCTTCACATCCCCTCTCCTTGGGTCCTGGTGCTGAATCAGCCTCGGTGGAGGTGGGGAACGGGGGAGGATTTAATGAGCCACAGTCGATGGACCCCATCTCTGCCACTGAGCTTCCGTGGGACCCTGGGCATGTCACCCAGTGTCCCCACCGTGCCGTGCCATGCCAGAGGCAGCATGGGAGAGCCAAGGGTGCCGGGGGCTCCAGCAAGACTGTCCAAGGGCAGCATGCCGCTCCACCCTGCCCGGATCGGGGTCCCCCA